AATCCGATGAGTATTAAAAAAGTTACGATCGTTTAAAGTGAAACACCCAAAACGCTGAGAACTTTCCGGACAACCTAATAACTGGTTCACCTCACCCCGGAGTCCCTCCCCCCTGAAAAATCCCGTTTTCTGGCTCGCCATATGTTTTTTGCACGTTTCGATGCTTTGGCAGCCGCTGCCCTCTATCCGTCTGCGTCACAGGGTTTCGTAACAGGACCATGCACAAAAGTTCAAGATTTCGCGTAACATACAGCCTGGAGCAGCGCGTACCTTCTAACTTCATTGTTTGAAACTCAACTAACGTTTGGCTTTTCTTTTACCTGTACACATGACCAACGCTGCTTGACCAATAACATCATACCTGCTGTTTTCAACATTATCAAAGTGCATGGAACGGGACGTTGATCAAGTGCACAGATGAGAAAAAAGCCAGGTATCAGCTGAGCATTGAAAAATAGAGAGGAGGTAGGTGCGACCGCGACAAAGCCACGCCTGGCAAAGCCTGGACCGACCTCGGAAGAAGGTGCGCCGGCGAGCCTACTTGTATCAAATATCTATGGGGCCCGGTGAGTAGTAGTAAGGCTGGGAGATAAGTAAAAAAATAGGCACCCCTGCTTGAAGGCACGCTGAGCCCGCAATGGGTGGGTATCAACACTGCGGGGCACACTCAACACTCGCCTTCTTCTCCAACAGTTTTTTCTGGTCTCCAAACTCACTCAAGCTCGAATTATGAAATATCGAAGCAAGCACAGCCCATTTCAAAGATATCTGCCCCATTTTGCCCAGTAACCCCTTGTGGACCTCGATACACTCATCCCGGTGTCTATACTGCTCTGCAACCATCTCGTGAACTTTTGGTTTTCGCCCTGCCCTTCTCGACCCATGTTTTGCCTACAGCGGGCATGTCTATGTCACTTTGTGTTCAAGATCGGCTCGCCTACCTCGCTGTGCGCCCTGCCCACAAGTGGTGTGCCTGGACTTTTCAACCGGTGACCCTTCGCTGACCCTAATAAACTTTTTACGGGTGTCTGGAAGGCTCTGGGATTGTTTTATGAACTTCGAAAGGAGCTCCTTCCACCTCGCTCACAACTGTGTGGTACTGCTGCACTAGTGGGTTTTCGCTTTGGTAACGGCTTCTTTCTTCTATCAGTTTCTTCATTGAATTTATGAAACATTTTGCGGGCATACATAAATACCTACATATACATACATACATACATACACACATCAGCGGTCATCCTAAAAAATGAGACTCGCGCGAGCGAGGTTCATTTTTTAGGATGACCGCTCATGTTTTTTTTTTCTTCACAGAACCTCAAGAAGGAGCTATCTGCTGACGATGGCTTCACCGTATACTTCAGTCGTTAACATTTTCTCAAATTGCAGCAATAATTCTTTGGCTGGACGCACATCAGCACTTCGCCTCATCTTCGGATCCTTTTTCGCATGAGTCCTTTGACCAAGGACTGGCTCAGCAAATTTGGTGACTGCGAAGCCCTTGGTATTTCCCCATGATATTTTTGACACACCCGCTAACGATCCTGACGAGAAGAGGCCTATTTCAAGAGAATTTGTCATTCCTGGCACCTATTTTTGATGGAGAAACTGTACATTTACACCCGACATTGGTTCTTTTCATGGTAGGTGGATGTGTCCGCAGTTGCAGTAACGTGCCACCTCTTTCTTCAGAAGAAGTGCATGGGCACGTGAATGGAGATTAGTGATATTCACACGCCATCTTCATACATCTCCCGCGCTAACCTCAATGAACAGCACTGCATAGAAAGATCCCACAGCGCAACAGGCTCTCTTCAATGGAGAGCAACAAGAGAAGGGAGAGCGCAGACAAGTATCGCGTTTGGTATAGCGGACGTGTGACTGCTCATACGGCAGCTTGAGTGGGGTATCGAAACGTTACCCAGGAATTACCACCTCCTGCCCCATTTCTGCCCAGCGGAGAGGTGGCAGGCCACTACAGTTGCGGACTCCATTCACCTCACAGATGGCAAGGAATGGGATCTATGAAGGTCTTGTGTGCATAGTTCGCCTTTAAGTGAACGGAATTCTCGTGAACTTCGATCGCGGTTCGCTGGATTTTCTTCCATGTCTTGCTTTCTCTGCTTTTCTCTTTACGTTAATTTTTTCGTGAGTTGGAAGCGAAGTTCTCAGTTACATGCGCTGGTACATTTCCTCGTTTTGCAGCTTCGTGGGACTGCTTCGTAGTGGATACCTTTTTCGCTGCGGATGAAGGGGTGTTAGGCAGCATGAGTATGGCACTGCGCCAAATCCGTTCCCTGCCAATTGCTGGAGCGGGTAACTGGTTGAAAACGAGTGGTACTAATATCTGATTGGAACTGAAGATAGATAGATAGAAGATACAGTGTTCTCACTTGCTCGCTTCAACAATTGGTGTAGAACGGGTTTAGCTCCGTGCCAGACCATCCTCTGACGCTCTTTTTCCGCAACGAACAAGACTATATATATACTCGAAATCCCTGAGATCGGGTAGGCGGAGCATTCGAACACTGTAAAGAACTGGTTACTAGTGGAATATTCCAGTCTGGGACAACTGTCATCTTGTTCTGTGTTGGACAGAGACACGACAACGATTGTGTCGAGGTGAAAATATCGCATCAGAAGCGTAAACGCCTTAAGGATAAGTTGAAACATGCGGCCACGCCTACCCGATCTCAGGGATCTCGAGTGTATATGACTGTATAATGAGGTCCTTCATGAACAAGAAACCCAAACTCAGGATACCGTTTCACGAAACCGGAATGTAACGTAAACTTGTGTAGAACAAAAATGCTATGAATCAGTGACGTACTACAGGTTCGGATAAAAGTAACATTGTGGGGTGAAATCCACCTCTTCTCCCAAATAGACTGCACTGTTAGGTTGTTCTGAGAAATCGTGATAATTTTCAAAGTCGTTCTGAGAAATCGTGATAATTTTCGAAATTTCGTATCAAATCTTTCCGCACTTATTTGGAGATCCAGATATGTGTTGTAAAGGAAAAGCATCAGGTGAGCATCCTATAGTTTCTTTACCGTCCCTTGCAGTCGCTGTTGTCATATCCAAAACGGTAGATGAAATTCATAATTTTTGTCACACTTCGCTATATGAATTTGCACTAAGTCACAACTCGGTTGAAGCCACACGCGGGCACTTGCTGTGAATCAGGTCTGGTGGTACTTTCCATAGTATAACGTTGGAAATGGCCCGATCGCTTTCGCTTAAGTGACTTCTACTTGGGAGACAAACCTCGTCCAGAGAGGCCATCTGCTTTGGATTTGGACCTACTGCGTCCCTTGATTGGAACCAACCTTACGAAGAATCTCGCTATGTAAACTCTTCACTTGGCTGTTCAAAAGCGCAAATTACAGAGGTCGTTACCACCTCGAGAAAGTAATGAGGTTTCGTCAAAAGTTTTCTCATGAGTTGACCGATACTCAAGGGGAAGGGCATGTGGGTACTGTCTACAACTTCTCTCCCGCTCCCGCCATACAGACTGGTTGAACAACGACTGTGACTGGATAAGGAGTAGGTGTCCCTGGGTGAACCACTCCCGGAAGCACCAGTAGTTAGATCCTCCACGAAGGGCAGTATCGATCGTGCGATCCCATAAATATAGTGGGAAGGTGGTGCTGTGCTTGTGGTGTTAACGGCAGGGATTTCTTCCTTCAACGCTGTGATAACCAGCCAGTTCTCACGTAATTAACTGCAGAGGGAGAATGGAAATCCCATCATTTGGTCCCATAACCTAGCTAGAAATCCCATCATTTGGTCCCATAACCTAGCTATGTTCTGCCTACCCCACCACAGCTCAAGGTCACACATTTAAAAAATGGCACTGCTCGAGATCTAGAAGCTTCAGCCGGTGAATTCTATCACAGTTTTCGTGTGGGCCCCGACTTCTGACTGCCACCTAAACTAACCCCTTTGGCCAACTTCTGGGTGAAAAGTACGAAGTTTTGAAGCATCTCAAAAATGACCCGGCTGCCTTTCTCCACGCGGAACTAATGAGGGCAACCACTCTTTGCTTGGCAACAAGTTGCTGATAAAGGTAATATATGTATATTGTTGATCAAAATTGTTTCTTATTGGAAGAAACTTGGCTCGAAAAAAAAAAAAAGTCCGAAAATGTCAATTTTTTCCAATTTTTGGTACAATCTAATATATGCTCTTTAGCCACCCCGTCGGCTGGTTTCTTTCTCATGCCTAAGCCTGTCAGATATGGGAAACTTCAACAATGCTTTTTTTTACCGCGAGCAACAGTTCTTATGCTCACCTCATTTTTGATCTGTAGAGCGTACGGGGATTTTCAATTGGTCAACTACTTATTATGGGAGATGTGTATGTTTTAATACCAAATAAATCAGACCTTTGGATCAATACCAGCTGTGGGTTCATCAAGTAAGATAAGTTCTGCGTTATTCAATATTGCCACACCCGTGCTTATTCGACGTTTCTGGCCACCACTGTAAGATAAATTTAGTATGAGTCAGGTTAAAAAGAAGACGAACCAACCTCAGCCTGCTGAACGCTTTTTCGACAGTGACTGGTCATACGCATTTGTCTTAACACTTCCATCACCATTTTTCTAGGACTTCTATAACCTGAAGAGCTATGAGTTCAGTATGGTTGGATGGATGTTTTTTTTCGTATTCTACCGACCTGTCATCCCTGCTATAATTATCATGTTCTGATAGGAGGAAAGAGTATTAGCAAGCGAGTCGAACTGGGGACAGAATCCAACCTTCTGGAATAGTCTTCCGAAATTCTATCACAGATACAAAGTCTTGGTTGGTGGTTAACGCTTTTTTTTGCCCACAGAGGCATAAATTCTTGTTGTGTTTCTTGTTGTTAATCTTTTGTAGTCGTTCTGATAGGTTGAGCTCAAGTTAAAAAGGGGCTAAGAGGCTCCGAGCACGAGTGACCCTTACTGTAGTGTGCACGCAGAGGAGAAAGTCTGAGTAAGCACACCCTCAGAGCACCCTCATTGAGCAGAACCAGGGACCCTTAATCCCCGAAAACTAGCCAAATTGAGAACGGGCGAAGCGGATAGTGACAAAGACGAGCCAGCGTCAGGGATTTCTAATATGGGGAGCCGACGTGTGATGCGGAAATCCGCATGTAGTAGCTTAACTGCCTTCCAATCATTCCCGCTTGAATGAGCCAATCACGCGAATGAGGAAACAGTTTGTTCTTGTGAAATGTGAGAACATCGATGAATGATTTTCAGATAGCCAACGGAAAAGTGTAGTACAACTCACGGAAACACCTCTCACAGTACGATTGTTGAGCAGCACTTTACCACTGCTAGGGTATGTTAGCCCGACGATAATGTTGAATGCTGTTGTCTTGCCAGCTCCGCTAGGACCAACCAATCCGAAGCAGTCATTCCGATGAATGTCGAACGTAATTCTTTTTAGGGCACATGTCTTTCCATGGAACTTTGTGAGATCCTGGCAAATGCGAATCAAATTATTTAGAATGATAACAACACCTTTCAAAAATCGTTACACTTGGACCTCCCGCCTTTTCTCGTTACTCGACACTTTCATTGGACTTGGACACTGCGCGGATTAGCTCACGTCCACGTTGTATCTATCAAAGGAAACTACGCACAGATCAGAACGAAAGAGTCAACAAATGTTAAGAGAACCTTGTTTTGAGTCACGCAACATCAACCACTCAACGAACCGACATCAACGTTATAGGCTCATTAACGGAATGCAAACAGTGCGATTCTGTGGACAGCGGGAGATGAAAAACCGCCGTGGTCACGTTCAGTGCGACAAGGCGCTAATGTGGAGTGGCAGAGGCCCTAGAGCGCAGACGAATAGACCTTAGAGAGGTGCAGGAAACAAGTTGGTCAACAAGTCTATATGCAATTTGAAAGGCACTGGATGAGGCACTCATGTGTGGCCAACCAAATAATGTGTGGCCAACCAAATACCACCCGTGACATTGCTGTAATCATTCCTCGACGTTTCCGTGATTTGATAGCAAGCCTAGAACGCTTTGATGACTGCTAACTTGAACACTTTCTCGTGCAGACGATGTGATGCTAGCAGCAGGTGCAAGACTGGTCTGATTGCCCGGAAAATTTCGGATTGAGGTTAAACATCAAGAACCCCAAGTACTTGATGACATAAAGGATAAATGGATACGATTCCACTTAGATCAGTGGCATCGAGGTCACATGCATGAGAACCTTCAAAACTTGGATCGGAAATTGACTTCGATGGCAATCTGACTTCAGGGGTGAAATAGCTCGTGCGTTAGTGAAGCATGAGCAAAATGGGGTTCCCTGGGACAAGACGAAACCAGAGCGCCACAAATCAAAGATCTGTAGAACTGTGGTTAGACCTCTACCCAAATCGAAATCTGTAGAACTAGAACTAAGGTTAGACCTGTACGGGTACGCGGTAGAGTGCACTGCAAAGCGTGATGGAGATGAAAATGTTACGGCCGGTGTCACGCAAAGTATTGGATTTGCAACGACGACATATGCGAGGATTTGGGAATGCAAGGAATGCCACATTTTACCAACTACGGGAGCGTGGCTCCCATAGTTGATAAAATAAGAAAGTCCCCCCTCGGTGGTTTGGTCGCGTACTTCGCGCCAAGGCGAACACCGTCTGCAAGAGTAGTCTTCAGCTTGAGGTGCACGGAAAACGTTCCAATGGACGTCCGAAGCGTAGTGGGTGCCCACCTAGATCAGTTATGAGAAATGGTGCAACAAAACAGGGGAGCGGAGCTAGTCACGCCCCAGAGTGGTATAAAGGCTGAAGAAGAAGAAGAAGAAGAAGAAGAAG